CAAGGAGGGATTGAGGAGGGAGCATCTGCCCTTCTCCTTCCCAGAAAAAAAATTTAAGTCTGCTTTGATGACGGGCAGTTCTGGGAGCTGCAGTTCATTACTATCGGCAGCTTTGAGGTTGGCGGGACACAGAGAGGGATTAGGGGCATGGGGAGAAACATCCTGATTTCCTTGTCTCCAACAATGCCAGAATAGGGGAGAAAAACAATAGCAAACTGAACAGAGCTGAGGCCAACAGGGCAAGGAGAGCCCAAAGGCAGAAGCTGTTCTCTGCAGCAGGCTCCAGGATGCAGCAGTGTTATCAGCTCGGCCTGCAGAGATTCCGGATTCTGCGAAGAAGTGAGTTGGGATCGCTCCTTCCCTGCAGGGCCAGGTTGGAGCAAGGAGATTGTTTAATCAGGGGTGATCCATGGACAGATGTTCAGGGACCACAATCAATCAGTCTCTCCATCCAAGGGGAAGAAGACCCCAACATGCACTGGGAATAGGAAAATATGCTTTGCTTAAGAATGTAAAGGTACAAGATCCCAGTAATGAATGTAACTGTACTGTCTACCTAGAATGTACCAATAAATTAAATTTAAAAAAAAAGAATTTGAGTCTCCGACCTAGCATCACTGACCTCACTCGCTCTAAAAGCAACAGCCTCGGGGTCACTGGCAGCTGCTCCCAGAAGCAAGGACAGGATGGGCTGGGGAAGAATTGTCTGCAGCCAGTCAAGGTAATGTGAAGGTCGTAATCATGATCGATAAAAAAGACAAGTTAGTTCATTGTGTGCCTGGGTAGCAAAGCTTACTCTCCCATTTAACCCCTAATTTTTGAATCCCTCATATTTACATACTGTGCAGTGAACTCTTGAGGGCAGGGTGCTTAGCCTGAAGGTCTTGAGGCAAAACCTTGTGGGATACAATGATAGCACAAAAATCCTTGCTAAATGAAAGAGGGGGAGAGAGACAGAGAGAGAGAGAGAGAGAGAGAGCACGCATGAGAGAAAGAAAACAGAAATGAAGAAGCCAGAGAAAAGAGAGGAAGAAAGAGAGGAAGAAAAACATAAAATGTTAGGAAGGGCCAGGCAGAGGCCTCCCAGAGAGGGCATTGCAAGTGTTACTAAAAATATGGCCCTGTATGCCTCTGCAGCTGTCAGTTTAACGGTCCCCACCCATTTTCAAGGGTTACACCATTTTTCGATACCTGGCTGACCTCGGTGACCCTCCCCATCTCACTCTGGGGAGGTACAGGATTATTTGATTAGATTTAAGAAGCCTGAATCAAATTGGGCTGTTGCCATTGGGGCCTAGGAACGGGACATGGGAGTGAGTGAGGCCTGGCAGGCAGCAGTTACTCAAGGACCCAAGTTAATCCTCTCTACAGGCTGTATCTAAAATCATTTTGCTAGTTCATCTCTTTGTGTGAGTTCTGTAAAATATACTGCAAACCAAAAGTCTGCATGCTCTAGTAGGAATTGTCCGCTTTTTTTTTTTTTTCACTTTTTCCCCCCTCTGGCTCTTCCTAGATTTGCAAACTCAGGCCTACGTTCTTTCCAGATGAATCCAACCTCTTCTGGCACGGAAAAACTTCTTGACCTGGAAGGTATTTTTCCGGAGCAAAGATGGAGAGGGTAGCAAAGATCTGGCTAAGGCTAAAAGGTTTCTCTTCTCACCATAGAAAGAAAATAAGATCCTCCCACACCCAAAGTGATCAGGCCTTATCTTCTTCTATCTCTTACCCTCAAATATTGAGAAAGGCTAACTGGAAGGCCAACTGAAATCACAGAACAATCCTCCAGTGCACAGATGCTCAAACCAAGGCACCAGGTCACAGAGCCAGAGCACTGCAGAACTCGAGCGAGGCTGCCCAGTCTCCAGGCAGCCTCTGCCAGCACGGCCAGAGTGGAAGCCTCAAGGCTGCCAGTGAGGGGTCTGAGCCAGGAAGAGAACACGCACCAAGCCCATCCCTCATGGCCTCTCTTCAAGCCCAGGTTGTAACCTGATTATCATGGAGTCTTAAGGTGGACAGCGCAGGTAGCAGGTACCTGCAGTGGGAGGAAATCTTTCTCCAGCTCACTCAGGCGATTCACAAAGCTGGTCCTCAGGTGATGGCCTGGGCTGCCACCTCCCGATCAGCCGGCTGGCTGGTTGGTCAGCTGGTTGCAAGCCAGTCACACAGGCCAGTTGTCAGGGTGTCTGTCAGCCACCTGGGCTGGCAGAGTGGAGGTGGAGGTCAGCTTCTGCGAAGCCAGTCTGTCAGCCTGAATCAGAGCCCCATTTTTTTCCCTCTCTCTCTCCTCCCTTCTCCCTTTCTTTTGCCTTCCTCTTCCTTCCTTTTTATTCTCTGTAACTTTCTTTTATCCTTCTTTTTGGGCATTCTTTCTGCCCTGCCTTCACTTTTTCTCTTCATATTCTTCCCTTCCTTTACCTTTCCGTCTTCCCCCTTTCCTATCTTTCCTCTATGTTGTCTTTCCTTTTCTACCTTTCTTTCTCTTCCTGCCGTTTCCCCACACTTCTGCCCTTTCTTTTTCTTCTCTAGCTCCCTTTTCTTACATTTTGTCTTTCTTCTTCCTGTTTTTATCCTTCGCTTAGAAAAAAAAGTCCCGCCCCTTCCTTTTGCCCTTCTCTCCATGTTCCTTTCCTGCCCATCTTCCTCCCCACCCCTTCCTCTGGCTCCAGCACTTTCTCATGTCTTTTCCTATCCCAGTCTCTTCTCTGTTGTTCTGGATTTTTCCAGTTCTTTGTGCTGTTTTCATAGATCTTCTCTGTCTTCCTTTGTTGCTGGTCTCTCTGCAATAGGCATGTGGTATAAAACTGTCCCTCAAAGGAAGGTTCTGTCCTGGGCCAGCCCAGCTCCTTCATGACATCCTTTCTCAACTCTCCTCAGTTTGGGACTTCATCTCAAGGGCCTAGAGAGGAGCCCCCCCCCCGCTTAAAACCAGTTTCTCACTACGGGCTTAGGAAAGTCTTGCCACACTTGTCACTCCGTCAACCCAAAGAAGTAAGACAGACAATCCCACAGATCTATGGCATGGAGTGAGGAACAGATTGAGGAGGCAGGAACAAAAAGAACCGGTTTTATCAGAAAGAGATGGGGCAAAGCCTTGGACCAGAGTGCTGGCAGCCTTCAGCCTTGGAAGAGAAGCTCAAGCTGGATGCCAGGTTGGCTTGGGGATTGGGAGGGGTGAGGCCCTGGCATCCAAATAGCTGCAAAAATGTGAAAAGCCAGGAGATGGGAGGAAAGAAAAGGGCTTAGATTTGCTTTGAATATCAGTGACTTTAATGTCTGCCCTCTAGGCAGGTCCTTCTCAAAGGTCCAATTTTCGGGGGCCACCACAAACTTGCTCTGGGCAGTTCCAGCTCAGGCCCTCTTAAACCGGTCAGTCCCAATTGGTGAGCAGGTGCCAGGACAGCCACGGGAGCATTGCAGAAAATTTTCAGGAGCCAGAAAACAAAGACGCAGGAGGGCGACTGGCTTGGTTAAGCAACCTCTGCAGGCAAGGGCCAATGGTGACCGCAGACATCAAGCACTTGACTTGCAAATCTTCTCTCCTGGGATTCAAACATCGGTCGGTGGAAATGCAGTCTGGCCGTCGGCCTGATTCCTCCAGACCCTAGAGGGGCCTGACCCTGACCAGGACACCCCAGGTGCAGAGCCCCTCCTCAAGGCCTGGGCTCCAGCTGGGCCTCTGCGGCCAGGGGCCCAAGTGCACCTGCTGCCCTCTCCACACTCGACCCAGGGCTGCCCACTCCCCCTTGTCTCTGGGCCCCAAGTTTAGCTGTGCCCTCTGATCACCCTGTGCTCCCCTCTGAAGAGCCTTGCTACCCCTTCCTCCTGCATCTCTTGGGAGGGGCAATCTCGGTCCTGAGAGAGGGGCGGGGCCTCTTTTCCTGCCCTCCCTTTGGGCTTTGGAGAAAGTAGGAACGTTATCCTGGGAGGAGAAGGTGGGACTACACCCTTGGCTCCATTTTAAGGTAAGGAGTTTCTGAGTCAAACTAGAGGAGGAGTGGGATATTTGGGAGCTGTTCCCTGAGTCACTTGTAATTTAAAATCAGCCAAAGTTCCCAGGACTGCAGGGGCCAAGGCGGCCGGGGACTGAGGCTCGCGCCCCAACCAGCCCCGTTGGGCGGGGGCAGAGGGGGAGCTGCTGCTCTCCGCTAGTACTTCGTCCCTTTCGCAGACCTCCTCAGGGATCTCCAAGCGTCTCTATGCGCTTGCCGGCCTGGGACCTTCCTGGCTCTTCCTGTGTAATTAGTCGCGACTTGGAAACAAGCAAACACAAATCCTTCCATCGGTGTGGGAGGCCGGGTCCCCTCGCTTCCACTTACAAACCTCAAAACTCCAACTCTGTTCCCTTCTCCATCTCCCTCCAGAAAACTTTTCTGCAGTTCCGGCAAGTTGCATTTGGGAAAAGTCCCTTGCCTTCTCTTAGGATCCTTCTGCCCCAATTCCTCCTTTCCTCCCCACTTTCAGAAGCAACCCTCCCCTCCTCCCTTGCCAGCTGCCACCTTAGTGCCCAGACTCAGGAGATGAAGCGCTGCTGACCCTGAGCACCTGACGGACACCCAAGCCTCGCCCAAATTCCTGCCGGGGTAGGTAGATTCGTGTCTACCCCACAGGGGAAATGAGAATAAGAACGCGGAGAAGAGACAGATCGTTTGTAGAGTAAAGCGCACCTCTCCCGGCCAAACTCACCTGCTCCCGGACTGGCTCCTCTTGATTTTCATCCATTTAAAAGTTTGTCCTTCTCACGCGCCATTTCCAGGAGGGGCGCACACTCGGCCCCTGGAGAGGGGTGCGGATGGGGTGTCTTTGAGGGTGCAGACACCTGATCAGGAGCTCTTGGGGAGAGCAGGAGATGCACCATCCCCAAAGTAGGGGCTGAAGCAGTGCTCCAGAGAGAGAGAGAGAGAGAGAGAGAGAGAGAGAGA